CTTAAGTGTGGGCAGCTGCCCACAGTAAGCATGTATTGGGTTCGTCAGTGGGGGCGGAGCTAGCATGGGACCAGTGTGGTCCTAGGCCCCCACTCCATTTTTATCTCTTTTATTTGTATATTATAAATAATATTATGATTTGTCACTGGTAGGGAGGGAGGCCACTTTCCTTATGATTTTGCGTATAAGGGTTTTGGTCTAAATTGAACTAGCATGACTTGACATTTAATATGAGATTTTTGTATTACAAATCCAATCCAAAGATTAAGCATTATGTATTTTTAGGGTTTTGGTTTCATGCAATGAAATGGAAACAACAATTATGTTCATTCCATTGTTTTTCACATATTTAGTAGGCAAATAGCTAATAGAATGAGGATCTCCAAACCATTAATCTTATGTTACAATTCACTTTAGCTTGAAGAATCGGAACTCCAAATCCTAGATCCCGTTTTTAGGACTTCAAGCCCTAATCTAACTTTGAACTTGAGACTTGAGACTTGAGACATGTTGAACGGTCAGACTCTAAATTCCAAATTGAGCATCCAAAAGGTTTAAAAGTGGATCTTCAATCCGAGACCTAAACCTAAACCTTGGTCCCCCATGAACCAAACCCCTTTTCCAAATTTGATTCCAAACTTATTCCTATTTTGCAAACCAAAAAAATAGAATGAATTTCCTTTCTCAATAATTGCATTCCACATACATCCAATTTCTATTCAATTCCATCAACCACTTGTGGCTTGAGTTTTCAAAGCCAAGCGCCAGGACAATAACAGAGGATTCAAATCCAATTCCCCTAGATGCCATTTCATCAAGTGAGGACTAATGCCAGTGAACAAAAAAAGAAGAAAAAAGGTGAACAAGTAGCTAGCCGACCCTTGGAATGGTCAAAATTCTTCATTTCTTTAATGAGATTTGTAAGGCAATTGATAGGTGATGAGATTATAGGATAACAATATATTTTGATAGGTTTTCCAAGATTCAGCAAGTACAACTGGTAATTTTCAACCGCCCAAACAAACATTACCACACCCACCAAGCTCATCTATATATGGTCCATATTCAAAACAATATGATAAACCAATGGCAATGCATGCATATGCCACCACTTTCAATAATGTCCCCATTTATTAATTTACATTATCACCCCCCAAATTTCACTCTATCCCCCACCACCATCCTCCTTCAATATCTCAGTCTTTGGTCCTCTCTAGTCTATATATATATATATCCCCCCCAACCATGAACCTTCCCACTTCAGTTCACCCTCCATTTCTCCAACCAGACCATCTTCCACACACAAAATTACCAAAATGGGCTCCCTCCCTCACATAGTAGAAGACTGCATGGGCATCTTACAAGTCTTTAGCGATGGTACGATCAACCGTTGCTCTTTAATGGACATAGACTTCAACATTCCTGTCGTCGATGACAACTCTGTGGCCTTCAAAGACGTCGCTTTCGACAAAAGATACAACCTCTCCCTCCGTTTGTACAAACCCAAATCGGCAAACCGCAATTCCAAGCTCCCCGTGGTGTTCGTCGGCTCATTTGTGTGGCCAAACTGCCACAACTGCTGCCTCCGCCTGTCTGCGGGGCTCCACGCGCTCGTGGTTGCCCCTGACTACAGGCTTGCGCCGGAGCATAAGCTCCCAGCGCCAATTGATGATGCGGTGAGTGCGGTGGAGTGGCTGCAAAGGGAGGCTTTGATGAGTAAAAGTGGCGATTGTGATGCATGGATGGGTGGTACCGCTGACTTTGACCGGGTTTTCATTGTGGGCGACTCTTCTGGCGGGAATATGGCCCACCACCTGGCGGTTCGGCTCGGGGCCGGGTCGGCCAAGGTAGCGCCGGTTCGGATACGTGGGTATGTGCTACTAGCGCCATTTTTTGGTGGGGTGGAGAGGACAAGGTCAGAGGAAGGGCCTTGTGAGGCATTGTTGAGTTTGGACATACTTGACAGGTAATTCAAAACTTTTTTTTTTTTTTTTTTTTTATTTTTTGTCCCTTTGT